TTTTTTTCATCTGCATTATGTTGCAATGAAGCACAGATAAAATCCCTTTTCAGTTTTGCTTTCTGTGTCTTACCTGTTCATTTAGCTTCTCTCTAATTTTATTTTCTGACATTTCAAGCTATGTATAAATTTAGGTGGTGCCATTTGATTCAATTTAATGAAATTTGAATCGGTTGGAAGTTCGAGGGTTAAGTGCCTGTGTGCAAAAATCTGAAATCTTCCGATGTGATAAATTTCTTTTGTGTCATTTGAAGTATGAAAAATTAGGATTTAAGTGAATTTGAAGGCTTTTGTCTTTGTTAGCTGGGTTGGGCTTAAGCATTGAAGGTTTTAGACACAAGTAGAGTTGTTGTAGGTAAGCTAGTTTTAACTAGAAAAAGGTGATTTCAGTGTCATTCATCTGCTAGTGCCATCTGAAGTATAAATAATCATTAACCTGATTATTCAAAGATTTGTTTGTTATGATGGAAACTTGTCCCTGAGCTTTTCTTATAATTTACTATTGTACATTTTTGCAGATTTCCTCCATTAAGGTTATTCGAAATAAGCAGACTGGTCTATCAGAGGGTTATGGATTTGTTGAATTCTATTCGCATGGCACAGCTGAGAAAGTTTTGCAGAATTATGCTGGGATATTGATGCCTAACACAGAGCAACCTTTCCGCCTGAACTGGGCATCATTTAGCACAGGAGACAAGCGTTCAGATAATGTCCCTGATCTTTCTATTTTTGTAGGAGATTTAGCTGCTGATGTTACAGATAGCATGTTGCATGAAACTTTTTCTAATAGATACCCATCTGTTAAAGCTGCAAAAGTTGTTTTTGATGCCAATACTGGCCGTTCAAAGGGTTATGGTTTCGTCAGGTTTGGAGATGATAATGAGAGGTCTCAGGCTATGACTGAAATGAATGGAGTTTACTGCTCTAGCAGGCCTATGCGTATTGGTGCTGCAACTCCAAGGAAAACGTCTGGCTATCAACAAGGTACGCCAAATCCCAGCCATTGCGTCTAGTATCTGAAATTAAATTATCTTCTTTAAAAGGAATACCACCAAAAGATATTATACATTCAATTTAAAGAAAAATATTTTTAGACGCTTGTTTCCTGTTTTACATGTTTTGCATCATGTTACTGCTGATAGACAATGGAAGCACATGTGAGCTATATGCATGGATTCATTGTTGGAGTGGTGATTTCAGCATGATGTTATTTGTTCCTTAGTAGGCAAGTAGCTGATTGATAAAAAATATTGAATCTTTGTTTTCCTAATAACCTTTTTCTTTTAAAAGTTGTTTTCTAAAACAATTCTATACTCGGGTATTTTGCAATCAATTTCATACCTAGAATCTATACAATTTTAAAAATTGTTTCCCAGTGTTTTAAAAAGCAAAAATCATAAACAATTGGAACTTTTTTTCTCACTCTCTCTTCTGTCATCTTTACGCTTATATTCAAGTGACAAAGAGTAAACTTTTAGAGAACAGAAATGTGTACAGGAACAAACACTAGTAAATGTACTCAGAAACAAACAAAATTTAGAAAACATATATGTTTGCGAAAACAGTAAACAAACAAGGCCTATGTCACTCAAATTTAACTTTTACATTTGTTTGTCGTGTGCTTGCTGCTGCATAAGTCTGAAATAATTGTACTAGTTGAGATTTGATTTTGTCCCTTTATTTGTATAGGAAGTCAGTCCAATGGCACATCCAACCAATCTGAAGCTGATTCTACGAACACAACTGTAAGCTTTTCAGCTTTTCATTATTAGGTTCTTTTTTCAGCCAAAAACAAAATTGATTTGTCACTATATTTTCTGTTGGTTGATTCAATTATAGATATTTGTCGGAGGTCTTGACCCCAATGTTACTGCTGAAGATCTTAGGCAGCCATTCTCCCAGTATGGTGAGATAGTCTCTGTTAAGATACCTGTTGGAAAAGGATGTGGTTTTGTACAATTTGCAAACAGGTAGGAGTCCTGACCCTGTCATTTAAATCTTAACATATTCTCAGATAACATGGTTTTTGATTAACATGTGTGTGTCCACTACCTCAACCATTCCAGAAATAATGCTGAAGAGGCATTGCAGAAGCTAAATGGGACAACTATAGGCAAGCAAATGGTTCGTCTTTCGTGGGGCCGCAATCCAGCAAATAAGCAGGTAATCTCTGTCAAACATGCAGGGAAATATGTTCTCAATGCCATTTTATCTACTCTATTAATCTACAGGAAGGAACTAGATTCATTAAGTTTTGACATGTCTGTTACTACCACGTTGTGCTGGTGTCATAGGAAGTTAAAAAACAATTTTATAATACAATTTAAGTTTTTCCAACAGCCAATTTACTCTAAAAAATGTTTGTTTGCTTCCCTCCTGATAAAATCACTGAACGGCATTTCTTTGAGTTGGAAATGAGAGAGAAAGGAAAGAAAATTATAAAAAAGTTAGATGTTTTCTAAGATAATTGGTATAAAAAAAGGAAAAGAAAATAAATTTCTTATTTCCTCTTTTTTATTTTTAATGAAGTGAGAAAGAATATTATATAGATACTGTTAACTTGTTAACTTGTGTTACTAATTGCTGCACGTGATTCATGAATAATTATACATGAATTGAAGTATATTTGTTTTGGTGGTGTCTCACATTAAATTGCAATTACTGTGTGGGTAACAGTTTAGAGGAGATTTCGGGAGTCCTTGGAATGGGGCATATTACGGGGGAGCTGTTTATGATGGTTATGGGTATGCTTTACCAGCTCCTCATGATCCCAGTATCTATGCTGCTGCTTATGGGGCATACCCTATTTATGGAGGACACCAGCAGCAAGTAAGTTAAGTGCATTGCAGGAGTAGGACTTACCAACAGCATCTCGCCCTTGAACAACCACATTAACATTCTCCCTTCTAACTTTCTCAAGAATCCCTCCTAATTCTGGAGTGGAGTTGAATTTTGATAACCAAAGCTAGGAATTCAATTAATATTATCATTCGTTTAGACTCATGGGATTTAAACTTGTTTGTTTTAATAATTAAGTATGCTTAAGTTTGTCCTCTTCCTTGCATTTAAATTCT